GCATGGCTACTCTGGCTGCAGTTCCCTTCAGAGATCTTCGGATAGACTGCCCAATGACATCCTGTGACTTACCTGTGTCAATCAGACATTGCACTTCGTATTTCCATAAATCGAAAGTAGCCTCACCCTTCCATTGATCTCCAGAAAATAGTGGCAACTTGTAGAATCTCGTGTCCAGAGTGCCTGTGGTAGAACCAATACCCTGAGAAACAACATTTCCACTTACCCCTTGTCCAACCATCGATGGATCAGCAGTGTCCAATCCTCCTGTTGAATTAAGGAAATCCATCATCTGACTCCTTAACTTAACTAAGCTATCACCTTTAGGTCTAGCACCCATTTGAGAAAACAACTTAGACACATCCTCTACAGAGTCCGCTTCCTCTTGTGGAAGTATCGCTTCCGCTTGCGATAGTTTTTCTGTAGAATCAGTCATCACAAAACCTGTATCACAATTAACACAACAAAACACAAAATAAAATATTCAAGCAAACCAACAAAGTTCATCTATGTGTTCTCACCAGACACAGAACAAGTATTTTACTCTTGTCCTCATAGATATACACACTTACAAATCAAATAAAACCAGCCAACTCTGCCACATCTACTGTCAATGAATTAAATGACTTTCTTGAAATAGAACTATGTAAATCCTAAGAAGAATGATATTCGGTCGCGTTCAGCCAAAATACACGCAAATAAGTCAACGAAAAAACCAATCCGATTAGCGATAAATAGCATCTAACGCACCATCATCCATTCAACATCAATACAGAAAGATCCACATAGCACGTGTAACAAAGATCAACATCAACTGCGATCAATTATGTACCCACAAAATAACTCTATTCCCCTTGAAAAAAATACTTAAGTAATCCTCCATGTTAATTTTCTAAACAGAAGAAAAAATAAAAACAAAAATCTAAGTAAATTTATCAATTATCAATGACAACAGAAATGTAACACTTTAAGACAAATTAAACCAAAATTAAGTATAAAAAACAGACAATTTTCAAGAGAAATAATTTCCAAAAAAACCGTCAAATCAAATACAAGTGATTCCTCTGAAGCAAAGTATATTTCCGACAACCACGTATAAATCAATTTAAAGACACGAGAACATTTTTTTTTACACAATTTGTATTCAAATATATTAAATCCAAAAAAAGTCAATATGAACTAAACAAAATCAAAAATGAAAGCTCAATATGAAAACAATCAAGATAATCAAAGTTAAAGAGAAGGGGAAAAAAATCAATCAAAGCATATCAATAAATCATGAGAGTGAAATTAAAATTCAATTCAAACTTGAAATATATTGAAGTGAACGCACTATAACTAAAAAAATGATAAACTGAAAAATAGAATTAAATAATTCAATTACTTCTACTACAATAATTCAATACAAATATAAAAGTTTGCCGATAACAGATATTATATAATACTGAAAAAAAAAAAATATCCAAAATATCACCGGAAGTTAACAGCGTACCGGAAGTAGGAAAATACAGGAAGTTAAATCCGACCGAAAGTTAAAGTTATACCGGAAGTACCAAAAATAATACCGAAAGTTCACAATATTTACCGGAAATGCAAAGAACAATACCGGAAGTACAAAATATAATGTCGGAAGTTCACAATATTTACTGGAAATGCAAAGAAAAATACCGGAAGTACAAAATATAATACTGAACGAAGTTACAAGACAAATATGCACAAAAATATATCAGAACAATTTTGAAATGAATAAGCTTACTGAAGTTTCACCATTTAGAGTTCATGTTTCACGAAAGAAAATACAAGATATATTGTAAAATGGGTGAAAGGTCAATGGTACACAAATGTCATTTAACGTGTACGGTCAGCATTGGTCCAGTTCTTCTCCGGGTCCAATAACGTATAGAATCAACTGCGCACATTGCAGTCGCGTGATACACAAAACACTCGTTGATCAAGGTCGTTCGAGCGTACGTGCCTCTCTGGTATACACCTGGTGCTATTTCCGCGCGCGCGCGCTAAAAGTTTTGCCGCAATGCGTGACGTACAAAATTTCACGAAAGGCTGATTTCCGTTACATACGAACGCGTATAGCTAAATACCACAAATATATTAAAAGTAATAATGACAAATAATGACACTACTTCATTTTTTTAACAATTATAAGCATAATTTTGGCAAAAAAAAAAATCACCTTTTTGTTAATATCTAAACTTTGGCGTTAAATGCTGTTTTACAAGAACTTTGTGCAATGAGAAAATGTCAGTTATCGTTTTAAAAACTACAAATTTAAAGGTACAGGTTGGAGATATACATGTACTGGAAGGAGGTTAGTTGTCTTTCATGATCAGCTGTTTACATGTATATTTCCAAATACGGCATAGATTTTAATGCTTAGCTGAACACCTACATTTCCATTGTTATACCGCCATGACAGTTATTTTTTTATTGATTCCTACTTTATATTTTAAGTACTCATGCATATGTAACAGCTGTATCGTTCCTATTTCTCTCTAACGATGAACTTGTTGTCTGAAGTATAATAACGTACGGATGTATATACCTATAAGATCATCCTCTTCAAATACAATAATGTATTACATTTTGATAAGAAAACATGCATTATCAAAGCATTGATCATGTGGATGCATATTAATTAGCCTCTGTTGTTATTATTGAGAATGTTGACAAATTTTACTGATATTTTGTAAGGAAGGAAACTTAATAATTCTTTGCTGACGTCACTTAATGACCTCTGCAGGCCTCCAGCCGAATCTGTGTTCATATGGACTATCTTGTCCTCTGCTAAGGAGATATGAAAGAAACTAGACATAATATTACCCACTATAACACTTGGGATCTCCCTATTTTACCATTACAACATTTTGATTTATGCTTTTATCAATTTATATACATTACATGTACTTCTTTAAAATATCTCGCCAGTGGACATTTGACAGATGATACTTACATGTATATATAACCTTGATGCATATAAAGTAGACAAACAATTACTCATAAATGTCGCATTGATTCCGATTTCCTTTCAGGAAAACGCATTTTCTTGAATGTGTATTGCTGACTAATTCAAGTATAGCAGACTTTTATGACGGACCGGAACTATCTTCAGTATGATCTTATACTTTTCGCTAGGTTCGTTTGAGTCATTGCTCATTACAATACTCTTCGGGAAATCGGTCACAATCGAACATCCGTAAAATCGTGAGGAAAAGAATGACGGCAAAGGATACTTCTTCAGGAACACGAGATCTACTGCGCAAACTTGCCTTAACCCTTAGTGGTGAAACGGGGGTTAAAAGGGGCGGTATCCAGACATAACAATGACATGACGTCACGTGAACAATGCATTGAACCTGTAAAGACAACATTGTATTCTACATGACAGGGTCAACAGTGTAAGGGGAAAATGACCATGCATACCCTTGAGGATGAAATGGGGGAATCCCAGTCCCAAGAAATGTATTTTTGATTTGGTCGAATATTCATCAAGCCTCATGTTTGTCAACTGAGAATCACTAAATCAGGTTATCCACATTCTCGAACTGCAGGGGTTACGCTCACTCATAAATGACGGAATTGAAGGCACGTGGTAAGCTACTTGATTGATTTCAGGTGAAACAAGAAAATGCAGCAAAGCTGCTGGACACCAAACCTGTTTATGAAAATGACTTACTGACAGTCCATCAACCACGTGGGAAAGAACCCTGCATACTTGAATCTATTTAATCAGAATCATATAAATTGTAAATGACATTAATTGTGTTGTTCAGAATATTCCGTTCACGCTCAATATCTAGTTTTAACCGCACGTTTAGGCCAAATGTCAATGATTTTGGTAATAACGTCATCTTCTGGGAAAAAGAAGCCGGGACATAAGACGATTTACATAAAAGATCCTTCACACGCCGGTTGGGGGTTTGAAAAAATGTGACCAATCGCTAGGATGATACCTAGCCATTGAAGATTACAGAAGAGCTACACCCGATTTCGAAGCTGGTCGATTTTACTGTCACCGCGCGACTCTTTTAATGTAAATCAGAGGTTCGAAGTGTACCTGTCTCATCCACAAGGTGTCGCACACTGAGCCTTCGATTTTGTAATGACATACTCCAGTGTTGCAGAGAACGTAAGAGAACACAGCCCCTGGAGTATCGAGGGTGGTTGTCCATCTATTTCCCCCAGAGGAGATGGCATATCGTATTAATCTTACATGCGTAAAACAGTATAATAACATACCAGAGAGATATTCAAAAGAGAACGATTTGTTGTGTATATAGCAGACATGCCATTTCCAATGAATGCTATTAATTCCGATTTCCTTTCAAGGAGGCGAATTGCTGTCAATAAATCTACACGTGCACCTGATGACCTTGCAGTAACCGGAAGGTACTTCAGTACTGTCTTCAGTAGCATGGTTTCCTGTTCATTTAAGCCATTGTTCACTACAGCATTTGTTGGAAAATCTTTGAAATCGCTGTATGGAAATTCTGTAAGATTTTTTTTTGTGGATGGACTTGCGAGTTTGTTTGATATATTGCTTCAAATCAAAATCAAATTATAAAGTAAACACCTCAAAACCAGACGGACTTTCAAACAAACTCGCTGAAATAAACTGAACCTCCATTTTATCCTTAAACATCACCCTGTGGTGAGCGGATATCGGATGTTTACCGGAAAACTAGCTCCTCCGCAAATTTGGGAATTCGCACAAAACCCGAGAAGTAACGAGTATTTCTTAGTTACTCCGCTAATTCACGGAGTTTTGCCTCGCTGTTATTCCTATTGAGGTAGTGTGTTTCTTTGATTCGGAAGGTGTTGTTGTGTTTCTTGTGAAGAGATCTCGGTTTGTTTTGAAGCGATTGTAACCAAGTTACAAAACAATGCCAAACACAATGACCGACAATATGTTTTACTGCCGAATAGGCACCTGTCTCGGTCTCACGTGCCTGACGATAACATTCCTTATCACAGCTGATATCGATATAGCGGTAAATTATCCAAAACTTCTGCGGGCTAATGATAAAGGTAACGTATTACTTATCATATTGCATAGTTGGTTAATTTGTTTGATTAATACATATTTGCTAATAAGTATTATTAAATCTTCTATACGCATACTCATTATTATTATAAGCAATGTTCAACGGCCCATCAACACAGGACAGGTCATAAGGGCAAACAAATGGTCGACAAAAAGGTGTGAAAAGGGTGAAAGAACAAAGAGAAAGAAAAGAAAAGAGAAAGGACAGAACAAAATCTACACTATATACATGGGACTCTGGGGATTTACCAGGGCCCGACCATTCTAGAGGAATGCACAACGGTGCAAACTTAGCATTTGCGTCCCAGCAAAAGGACAGTGCTGCTTGGTCTGACCTCTACCTTTCAACCTGTTTAGCTAATTGGCTGACCCTACCAGAAGCACACAGCCCCGACCAGCATAGCTATCCAGGTCATTACGTGCGTTTTCTATTTTCACGACATGCTGGTCGGGCAAATGTAATTTGCTCGTTTTGTGCTTGTTTCGAATATATAGTGAAGAGAAGACCCAGATCATTACGTGCGTTGACTAGTTGAAATGTTTGCGTTGTTTACATGTTCATGTAGCACAAGCTGTGACGTATTTATGCGAGACTTTTCTGTGACGTGTATGCTTTGTCTGATAAGGATGACAGAGTACAGATCAGTGAGTCATCGAAACGTCACATATAAACGCTTCACTGGTTGTGTTACATGAACCTGTATACAACATGAAGGAAATGTTTAAAAATATGATTTTTTTCTGTTCGTGTGTGCGTCTTTTCATGATTGTGTTAGTTTCTTTATGCCCAGCAATTGTACATTGGTGTTGAATGTTGGGTGGGGTTGTCTACCAAAGTGTCAATGTAATGACTCAGGGACTTAATCTCCAAGGGTGGGACCAGACACCAGAGCCACCCACGATGCACATATATATTTGTCTCTTAAGTTCTATTCACCAATTATGTATGCTGTTATAGGATGGAAATATTAAAATCATTAACAAATTGAATCTCTTTTTGCCCAACCGCACAGTCCTAGTGCTCAGCCTCTCCGTTTGTACAATTTTAAATTCTCACCACCTTAGATTGCTTTCAACCTAATATGCGTGTAACTCTTCTCTTAGTCCCAATAAAGAAGTCGTTTAAATCGATATGGCCAAATTACCCCTTTTTGGCGTGTGAAACTATGAGATCACAGACGGAAGCTTGGCTATATGGTACAGTGTACAAGTCACCCAATACGTTTTGATTGGTTTCCGAAAAAATACATGATAAATGACAGCAAAACCCAATCGGACTCCGCCCTCGCACGAAACTCCTTACTTCAAACTTAACCCCTTTAGGTATGATGTGTGATACGGAAAAAATATGTTATTCGATAAAGTGTTGTCTTTTTGTCAGGTTACAGTGTTACTGTATTACTAGGTAATGGATGATGATGATTTTTCCTTTTTGTTTTCTATTTAGCATGTTCGATGAAGGCTGCGTTCTCTTTGTTCATCATGTCGACGACAGCTCAAGTGTTGATGGCCCTAACTGACACTATTCTATTGTGTTGCTCAGCGAAAAAGGAGGCTTCATTGAAATATGAATGCAAATATTTGAAGATCATCGTCCATTTCTGCTCTGGTAAGTGTTAAGATATCAAAATTATCTAAGTGTGTAATACAGTTGATTATTAAGCACGATACTGCTCCGAGCATTTAAAATAAACATCAAGTCATCGAGATTGTATCAATTAACATTAATTTGGGGACAAAGACGTCTGTTTTAAATGCATCATATATATGAACATGTAACCACTTGTTCTGCGCATAGTGTTGCTGAGTGTAAAGATAAAAACTGAAATCTTGAAATCTTGATACCAGTAACTGTTTTGCTGACGTCTGTGTATGATCAAAATTAATAATAAATCGTAATTAACTCGCGGCATAATGTATCTATTACTATTAAATTTTAAAGGTGCAATCGTTTCATCTTACAATAAATAAGCTTACGGTTAAGGAGGCACGGCAGCCTAGTGATAATACGCCGGGCTCGTGACCGAACGGTTAAGGAGGCACGGTAGTCTAGTGATAATACGCCGGGCTCGTGACCGAACGGTTAAGGAGGCACGGCAGCCTAGTGATAATACGCCGGGCTCGTGACCGAACGGTTGCGGGTTTGAGTCACGATACGGCACTGTTTTGTATCTTGTTCCAATCTACTCAGCTGTAAATAAGTACGTGGTTGGGCAATGCTAGAATTATTGAATGCTAGCTGTGAGATTGGCTGGTTGCAAAGGTCCTATAACCGCGGATAATTTGTGAACCGCCTTGACACGACCTACGTATTAGGTTGTGATAAAGCGGTATATGAGAACCTCGAATTAATATTAATATTATAAAATAATTGGGATGCCATCAACCACTGATATAGGTGAATGCAACTGTAATTAGGGACCTTCTCCTGGGGAACATCGGCTGTGATGTTATTGATGGAGACAGAGGACACCAAAATTGATCTGCTCTCCTACCTGCAAAACAGTGTACTAGCTAGGTCAGGGCATTTCAGCTACATCCCCTTGCAATTTAATTGGGTGGCCTCGTATTCTGTGGGCGTCTTATAATAGTATCTGTCTCCGATGTTAAACACTAATAAATCAATTACAGAAGTAACACATAAATACAATATTGACTTTCAGTTTGTGAAGGGAGGCATCACATACAATTAAGACAAAAATGTGATATCTTTTAATAAAGAAGTTAAAGGAGTTAACGTAAAACTTGTTTTGTTTGTCAATTCTCAGTTTTCATTGGACCTCAACTCAATTGGTTTTACACACGTGGATCCCTTCATCAAATCAAGCAATCGATTTTATTTGTGGATGGGTATATCGCATAGTTTTAACCATTACATATCTGACATTATAGTCTTGTATATCACATTGTGTACTTGTTAGTAAAATACATAAACACCTATATTGATATAATTGGGGTGATGGGGGTAATTACCTATAAAAGAAATCGTGTAAACTGTGAAATGGATCCGCATTTAAATGAATAATAAAGTGATTATAAATACAATCCCTATCCCAACTCTACCCTACTTTACATCTCCTTACTGTCCAGTCGCCATACAACAAGACAAGATACAAGAAACGTTATTTAACGGCGCATACAGGTAAACAAGGAACAATAGCTCTTGAGAGCTATTATTGCGACAAACATATGTAAAATAACAATAACCTATTATATTACAAATAAAGGAGGATAATCACATATATTAATAAAAAGCAGTAATAATTATCACAGAAAAAGAAAGTATCCATATCCCAGGTTTCTAAGTGATCAATAACTGATCCTCTATCAGTTATAAAATAGATACCTTATGAAACAATATTATTATAAAAAACAGTACATACTGTAGATAGGTTGCTGTATCATTGAGATGTCTAGAACTGTTGTACGTTGTAATTAGTTGGTATCCGATCCGTTTAAATTATTAGTTTAAATAAAGAAGTAATGTTTTAAAGAATCGCCGTCTCCTTTCCCCATTAACACCCTGAAATGATTTTTGCTAGATTTATTTAAAATCCATATTGTCATTCTAGATAATTAGTTTTTGATAACAGAAACCTTCAGGTCTGTCGAGATTAGTTCATCTCATCATTTCATTTAAAAACAGAATATAAAAACTTAAACCTATTGGTTATCATTTGACCGTTATAAATTATTGCTTAGACTTGATTTGAGATTAGAATGTGTTTATTATTTTTATCTTTTTACTGGTAATCAATTCATTTTTGCGAGGGATATATTTTAGCAATAGTTAGGCAAATACAGATTCTATTGATAATGATTACTTTAAGTAAACGACAGCAAAGTGTTTAGAAGTAAACACAAGCGGGGTTGGGTTTATTGAATCGCCAGGACGCTACCAGCTTGTGACCTCCTTCCTTTGTTATTTAACAGGTGTTGGTATTTCCATAGCAACAATCATCTTTGGACTGAAGCACCCTGGGAAAGTTAGCTGGTCTTTCTGGTTAACTGTTGTTGCAGCAATCCTTGCAGTTGCAAACGCTCTCGTATGGCTGTTGACACAACACGACAAGCGTGCGCTCAAAAGAGCGGGGGTCAACGTGAAACATCTCCAGGATGGTAAAATGGCCGACGGTACTGACAGAGAATCGTAAACATGTATATACACCAGTGATGTATGTATGATGTCGGGAGTGGTAAGACAGGTATGATATCGGAGTGGTAAGACAGCTATGATGTCGGGAGTGGTAAGACAGCTATGATATCGGGAGTGGTAAGACAGCTATGATATCAGGAGTGGTAAGACAGCTATGATATTGGGAGTGGTAAGACAGCTATGATATCGGGAGTGGTAAGACAGCTATGATATCGGAGTGGTAACACAGCTATGATATCGGGAGTGGTAAGACAGCTATGATGTCGGGAGTGGTAAGACAGCTATGATAACGGGAGTGGTAAGACAGCTATGGTATCGGGAGTGGTAAGACAGCTATGCTATCGGGAGTGGTAACACAGCTATGATATTGGGAGTGGTAACACAGCTATGATATCGGGAGTGGTAAGACAGCTATGATATCGGGAGTGGTAAGACAGCTATGTTACAAATTAAGGCTCGTATTGTGCTGTCGAGTCTGGTCATTATTGCGATTGGTTGGCCAATCAAATTGTTTCCAGATAGGGTCATTCCGAGCCCGGCTACATCTAGTATTGTGTATGGTTGCCCGATAAAATTGCTTTCAGACAAAAAACTGGCCAGTTTGCAATTGATTGGCATATCAAATTGTTTCCAGATAGATACGTGTCAAGCCTGGCTAGTATTATGATTGGTTGGTCAAACTGTTACAGAACTGGGCCCTATCAAGCCTGGCTAGTATTATGATTGATTGGTCAAACTGTTACAGAGTTAGTCAAACTGTTACACAACAGGGTCCTACCAATCCTGGCTAGTATTATTATTGGTTAGTCAAACTGTTACCCAACAGGGTCCTATCAAACGTGGCTAGGATTATGCCTGGTTGGTCAAACTGTTACAGAATTGGGTCCTATCAAGCCTGGCTAGTATTATTATTGGTTAGTCAAACTGTTACACAACAGGGTCCTATCAAACCTGGCTAGTATTATGACTGGTTGGTCAAACTGTTACAGAACTGGGTCCTATCAAGCCTGGCTAGTATTATGATTGGTTGGTCAAACTGTTACAGAACTGGGTCCTATCAAGCCTGGCTAGTATTATGATTGGTTGGTCAAACTGTTACAGAACTGGGTCCTATCAAGCCTGGCTAGTATTATGATTGGTTGGTCAAACTGTTACAGAACTGGGTCCTATCAAGCCTGGCTAGTATTATGATTGGTTGGTCAAACTGTTACAGAACTGGGTCCTATCAAGCCTGGCTAGTATTATGATTGGTTGGTCAAACTGTTACAGAACTGGGTCCTATCAAGCCTGGCTAGTATTATGATTGGTTGGTCAAACTGTTACAGAACTGGGTCCTATCAAGCCTGGCTAGTATTATGATTGGTTGGTCAAACTGTTACAGAACTGGGTCCTATCAAGCCTGGCTAGTATTATGATTGGTTGGTCAAACTGTTACAGAACTGGGTCCTATCAAGCCTGGCTAGTATTATGATTGGTTGGTCAAACTGTTACAGAACTGGGTCCTATCAAGCCTGGCTAGTATTATGATTGGTTGGTCAAACTGTTACAGAACTGGGTCCTATCAAGCCTGGCTAGTATTATGATTGGTTGGTCAAACTGTTACAGAACTGGGTCCTATCAAGCCTGGCTAGTATTATGATTGGTTGGTCAAACTGTTACAGAACTGGGTCCTATCAAGCCTGGCTAGTATTATGATTGGTTGGTCAAACTGTTACAGAACTGGGTCCTATCAAGCCTGGCTAGTATTATGATTGGTTGGTCAAACTGTTACAGAACTGGGTCCTATCAAGCCTGGCTAGTATTATGATTGGTTGGTCAAACTGTTACAGAACTGGGTCCTATCAAGCCTGGCTAGTATTATGATTGGTTGGTCAAACTGTTACAGAACTGGGTCCTATCAAGCCTGGCTAGTATTATGATTGGTTGGTCAAACTGTTACAGAACTGGGTCCTATCAAGCCTGGCTAGTATTATGATTGGTTGGTCAAACTGTTACAGAACAGGGTCCTATCAAGCCTGGCTAGTATTATGATTGGTTGGTCAAACTGTTACAGAACAGGGTCCTATCAAGCCTGGCTAGTTTTATGATTGATTGGTCAATCTTTTACCGAACAGGGTCCTATCAAGCCTGGCTAGTATACTGATTGGTTGGTCAAACTGTTACAGAACAGAGTTCTATCAAGCCTGGCTAGTATTATGATTGGTTGGTCAAACTGTTACAGAACAGGGTCCTATCAAGCCTGGCTAGTATACTGATTGGTTGGTCAAACTGTTACAGAACTGGGTCCTATCAAGCCTGGCTAGTATTATGATTGGTTGGTCAAATTATTATAGAACTGGGTCCTATCAAGCCTGGCTAGTTTTATGATTGGTCAATCAAACCGTTACCGAACAGGGTCCTATCAAGCCTGGCTAGTATTATTATTGGTTGGTCAAATTGTTACAGAACAGGGTCCTATCAAGCCTGGCTAGTATTATTATTGGTTAGTCAAACTGTTACAGAACTGGGTCCTATCAAGCCTAGCTAGTACTATGATTGGTTGGTCAAACTGTTACAGAACTGGGTCCTATCAAGCCTAGCTAGTACTATGATTGGTTGGTCAAACTGTTACAGAACTGGGTCCTATCAAGCCTAGCTAGTACTATGATTGGTTGGTCAAACTGTTACAGAACAGGGTCCTATGAAGCCTGGCTAGTATTATGATTGGTTGGTCAAACCGTTACCGAACAGGGTCCTATCAAGCCTGGCTAGTATTATGATTAGTTGGTCAAACTGTTACAGAGCTGGGTCCTATCAAGCCTGACTAGTATTATGATTGGTTGGTCAAACTGTTACAGAACAGGGCCCTATCGAGCCTGGCTAGTATTATGATTGGTTAGTCAAAATGTTACAGAACAGGGTCCTATCAAGCCTGGCTAGTATTATGATTGGTTGGTCAAACTATTACAGAGCTGGGTCCTATCAAGCCTGGCTAGTATTATGATTGGTTGGTCAAACGGTTACAGAACAGGGTCCTATCAAGCCTGGCTAGCATTATGATTGATTGGTCAAACTGTTACAGAACTGGGTCCTATCAAGCCTAGCTAGTACTATGATTGGTTGGTCAAACTGTTACAGAACAGGGGCCTATCAAGCCTGGCTAGTATTATGATTGGTTGGTCAAACGGTTACAGAACAGGGTCCTATCAAGCCTGGCTAGCATTATGATTGATTGGTCAAACTGTTACAGAACTGGGTCCTATCAAGCCTGGGTAGTTTTAGGATTGGTTGGTCAAACTGTTACAGAACAGGGTCCTATGAAGCCTGGCTAGTATTATGATTGGTTGGTCAAATTATTATAGAACTGGGACCTATCAAGCCTGGCTAGTTTTATGATTGGTCAATCAAACCGTTACCGAACAGGGTCCTATCAAGCCTGGCTAGTATTATTATTGGTTAGTCAAACTGTTACAGAACTGGGTCCTATCAAGCCTGGCTAGTATTATGATTGGTTGGTCAAACTGTTACAGAGCTGGGTCCTATCGAGCATGGCAAGTATTATGATTGGTTGGTCAAACTGTTACAGAACAGGGCCCTATCGAGCCTGGCTAGTATTATGATTGGTTAGTCAAACTGTTACAGAACAGGGTCCTATCAAGCCTGGCTAGTATTATGATTAGTTGGTCAAACTGTTACAGAGCTGGGTCCTATCCAGCCTGGCTAGTATTATGATTGGTTGGTCAAACTGTTACAGAACTGGGTCCTATCAAGCCTGGCTAGTATTATGATTGGTTGGTCAAACCGTTACCGAACAGGGTCCTATCAAGCCTGGGTAGTATTATGATTGATTGGTCAAACTGTTACAGAACTGGGTCCTATCAAGCCTGGCTAGTATTATGATTGGTTGGTCAAACTGTTACAGAACTGGGTCCTATCAAGTCTGGGTAGGTTTAGGATTGGTTGGTCAAACTGTTACAGAACAGGGTCCTATCAAGCCTGGGTAGTATTATGATTGATTGGTCAAACTGTTACAGAACAGGGTCCTATCAAGCCTGGGTAGTTTTATGATTGGTTGGTCAAACTGTTACAGAACTGGGTCCTATCAAGCCTATCATAGAATTCGTCTTCCACTGCACCTTTCTTAAAATATATACAGTTACCTCCCTTTTAATTTCGTTTTTGATAAAAATTCTAGCAAATTTTGGCAAATATGCTACAGTTGACAAGCTAGTTGAATCGGTTGAGCGATAGTATAACAATCTGAAGCCCCTGGTTCGAATCCTGGTCTAGCCCCGGTGGATGTTTAACTCCCAAGATTGTCGTTAATTATATTTTGTTATTTCATCACTCATCAGTATCATTTTCCATTAAAGTCACACAAGGTTATATTATGTCAATGTGTGGTTACAGTTTTTGGCAGTGGTACGGGGATCCTTAAGCTGAAGATGCATTTACCTAATACAGTGTTGTAAATACTTTTAACATTAAAATATTTCGATCATGTTTGATAAAGTACGGGTATATGCAATATTCTTTAATTCTTTATTTATATTGAATATTGTATATTTGATTTCAATAATTGAAAATGCATATGCAATAAATTTATTTGTATTGAATAATATGTAGGTGTTCGAAAACAATTTTGCACATAATATATTTTATTGCACATATGTATTTTATTGACTAAAGATATTTTTATTGAATAAAACTATTTTCTGCTCATGTATATTTGTCTCAAACATAACTGTTTTACTGTACATATGTTTTATTGAATAAACATGTAAATATATTTATTTACAGATATCATTTTCATTGAACATGAAAGACTTTTTGTTGCAAACCATTGCCATACTTACCAATTTCAATTGTTTGCATGAGATTTTACATGTGTTGACTATTGTTTGTCTCATGATTATTTCCTATTATAGCTTCTGGGTCCCTTTCATATTTATGATAACAGTAACTACTCAGGGGATGGGGTGATGGTCAGGTTTTAATTTAATGTTGCTAATGTAAAGTCACAGGAAGAGGGGAAGGGGGGGTGGTGGGGTATCACTTTCCTTAAACATTAATGCTTATATTCTAGTGCATATAGTACGCACCTAAATGACTATCAAACATTTCAAATTTAAATAAGCATGTTTCATACTTGCCAACTCTCCGTATTTTGGAAGGAGACCCTTAAATTGAGCATCTTCCTATTTTATAAGAACTTATGATTCCATCTGAAAGAATAGCTCAGAAGATGCCATTTAAAAGTGATATTTTCCCCATGGGGTATATACACATCTTTTGTTTTTGTTTTCAATTCTGTGCTGTAACCTAAGCATAACCTACCCCATGAAAATTTCAAAAAGTTGGCAAGTTTGATGGAATTAACAATTTCTATCACTGTTTTAGCACAAGTACGAACAATGTGTAACTCTGTATAGATAAAATAGACCCTGTTTTAGCACATGTATGAACAATGTGTAACTCTGTATAGATAAAATAGACCCTGATTTAGCACAAGTACGAACAATGTGTAACTCTGTATAGATAAAATAGACCCTGATTTAGCACAAGTACTGAACAATGTGTAATTCTGTATAGATAAAATAGACCCTGTTTTAGCACAAGTACTGAACAATGTGTAATTATGTATAGATAAAATAGACCATTTTCATTCATATACTAACAATAAGATCTTGTCACAAAATCTATGAAAATAAGAAGTCTTCATACATATGCAATGTCAACACCATATCTATCATATAACATGAGTGAGGAACTCTCATACACATACTGGTAATCATTTAATATTTAATTCATATTTAAATCATTAATATAGTACAGATGTATATACAATTTTTCATAAAAAAACCCATGGGATTTCTACAATAACAATGTGTCTTTTACAAAATAACTTTCAAAGCACTATAAATATATGTAAAACTTGTAATAATTTATGATATATGTACAAAAACGCTGATTTCTAAGTTGTTGTTTTACAATATTCTTTGATCTGAGACAATTTTGTTTCAAAATATACCGGTAGGTCATTTTAAAAAGTACTTTTGTGTATCTTTTTAATACACAAGACAAGTTTGAATAAATCTGAGATTGAAAATGTAACTTTTATCATGTTGAACAAACTCAACAACATGGATTTTACGTAAATAGGATCAAGTGCACTCAAACCTTTGAGTCTGATCCTTGTAAAGAAAGAAGAAGAAGAAAGAAAGAAATAAAGAAATTTCACCTGTAATAATTTTGTTTATTCTATTAATAGTAATCTCTCTATCGCATCTGGTTTACAATTAACATACTTTCAGAAACAGGTATTACACAAACCTAATAATAATCAACCTAAATACACAAGAATACTTTCTAGAAATATATATATATTTGGAAATTAGAAAATAAAGCAGATTTTGAAAATGGTACTGTATTAATTTGGAATTCATTTTTTTCTTACTTGCAGGTTCATATACACGTATATGGTCATAACTGGACAAAACAGTCAAATGTAACACTCACACAGCAAAATGTTGACTTTATGAAGGTGTGATATTGTACAATATTATCTATATAATCAGTGAGCTTACCAATTTAATGATACATTTTATGTATATGGACATTGGAGACTTAGAAAGAATTACATCTGTTATCTTAAAAAAATATGTATTTTTTAAAACAATCAATATGCAATAGACAAGAAACAAAAAGAAATATTACAATGCTATTGGAATACCACGTAAGGATAAACTAACTATAGGGGTGACACTATTACAAGGGAGTATGATATCCAATGTGTGCTAGTAGTATGGTCAGTGAAGTTAAGCATATCCATGTTGATGGATTCCTAAATGGAATTCACTAGTCTGATCGAAATGTTCATTAGAGATGACCAGAAAACATGAAATGGAGTCTGGGCAATCTATCCTTCATCCATTTTACATGTTTCTTTTGCCCTCTAGGTGGGCTGTCATCAGAATAATGTACAAATCTCAAAACATACCCAAAGTATAACAAGTGGTGCCCTGCCTTGTAAAGATATTAGGGCTCAGACTTGTGACCCCTCCACTCAGACCTACTTATTTTGAGGGGCCCACTTATACTCTGAATTTGTACAATTGTTTTTGACATATCCAACCTATACTTATGTATCTGATAATTATAAATAACCCTAACAATAGTAAGAGCACCAATGTCAATAAGTGTAAATTCTCAGCTATGACATCAGGTGGTGGAAACAGGTATCTTCATTTGGTCCTTTATCTTCAAATACTGAAAGCAAACAGAGATGAATAAGTTAGGTATCAACTCCAATGGTTTCAAACAAGTATAGGGCTCATTTTCATCAGTAGAACTTATAACGAATACAGCTAGGAAAATATGGATATGTGTTATAGATATACCATTGTCTCCTCTGTCGTTCACCATGTACACTTCCAGGGCCAGGTACATGTAGCTCTCAACTTTCACCATGTACACTTACTGGGCCAGGTACATGTAGCTCTCAACATTCACCATGTACACTTACAGGGCCCGGTACATGTAGCTCTCAACTTTCCCCATGTACTCTTACAGGGCCAGGTACATGTAGCTCTCAACATTCACCATGTACACTTACAGGGCCCGGTACATGTAGCTCTCAACTTTCCCCATGTACTCTTACAGGGCCAGGTACATGTAGCTCTGAACTTTCACCATGTACACTTACAGGACCAGGTACATGTAGCTCTCAACTTTCACCATGTACACTTACTGGGCCAGGTACATGTAGCTCTCAACTTTCCCCATGTACTCTTACAGGGCCAGGTACATGTAGCTCTCAACATTCACCATGTACACTTACAGGGCCCGGTACATGTAGCTCTCAACTTTCCCCATGTACTCTTACAGGGCCAGGTACATGTAGCTCTCAACATTCACCATGTACACTTACAGGGCCCGGTACATGTAGCTCTCAACTTTCCCCATGTACTCTTACAGGGCCAGGTACATGTAGCTCTGAACTTTCACCATGTACACTTACAGGGCCAGGTACATGTAGCTCTCAACTTTCACCATGTACACTTACAGGACCAGGTACATGTAGCTCTCAACTGTATTTATTTTATCTATGTAACAATATCAGTAATCAGTGCTTCCCGATTTAGACACACTCGTAATTTGTTTTGCTTTAAATAGCGCCATTCATTATTCTGATGTAAACAGCCATGGCGACTCCTAGTGATCCATATATATGATATAACACAGTACGAGTGTTATGACCGAGCTTTTCCTGCATATGTTAGATGATAAAACTTGACAATTTTCTGTATTTTGTTGTGTTTTTGGATTTCAAAAATATAGCATAGCCTTCACTAATACTTCTAACATTATTTTCACATTAAAATTACACATTTAAAACGTTTCGTCACAATGGCCACTTCATCAGACAGCCTGCAGTGAGCATTTTTAAATATAAAAAAAAACGTATAGCCTGTTGGCAATAAACAAGAAATTACAGTATGTTACCGCATGTACCTATTTCTGAAGTTCTTAAATCACAAAATAATAACATACATTTTTGCGACTATTGATGGCCTGCTGGACCCACAGCAACTCCATAGAAACACTTTTCCTCATTTCCATCAAAGTGTCTGGATCATCTGTAATGGTCTCTGGATTGTTGCCCGGAATATAATCTGAAATGTAACACTATGTTACATAAGCTCGGTTGTCTCCATGTATAAATATACATCAGATAGACTGTACATAAACTTATTCTTGCTAATTGGATAGAGGTTCTTATTATAGCACAACCAGTGAAACGATTTATATGTCAGTATTGTGATGTCACACATAAACCTTTCACCGGTTGTGCTGTATGAACCTGTTCACAATTGGTTCTTACTGAACTGAAGAATAAAATCAAAAATATACTTGTCAATTCTACTTATCTTGGAGAGAGACTTGCATTTTCATGTCTTTCTGCTCAGCTTAAATTATTTGATTGCGTGCACTTCAGAGAAGGGTTGGTGACAGGCACCAGTGTAACTACAGGAGAGGGAAAAGGCATGGGGGAATTGGAACCAGGGGTCTCTGCACTTAAGAAAACTGTTACCAACAGAGCCACTTGTGATTGGTCAAGTCCAGTTATATACTTACCCCAGATACATATTACAGTCAAACAGATCACGGATAATACCAAGCCATAATATGACCTGTCCTTTAACGGGCATGATGAGTCAAGAGAAACCAAAATTGAACATGTAACACTCATATCAAAAATATGATTTAAAAAAAAAAAATCATTTAAGGAAAAAACAGCCTTTTTTTTACCTGTCGCAGAGGAGAAGCTGTCCCATACTGAGGTGGCATTGGTTAGGACCGACGATTCCCGCATGTACCGTCTTGGTGTCATTGACGCTGGACTTAGTTCTTCATCCATGCTGTCATCTCGTTCTCTCCTGTCACTATGTGGGCTGACCTCTGACCTTCTACTCACTGTTGACTTATTTGATCTTGCATCTGACCTATCAGATTTTAACTCTGAACGACCAAAACTGACATTTGATCTATTAGATTTGACCTCTGACCTATCAGATCTTGCCTCTGACCTATCAGATTTGACCCCTGATCGACCAGAATTGACATTTGTTCTATTAGATTTGACCTCTGACCTATCAGATTTTACCCCTGAGCGATCAGAACTGACATTTGATCTATTAGATTTGACCTCTGACCTATCAGATTTTACCCTTGATCTATCAGAACTGACATTTGATCTATCAGATGTTACCTCTGACCTATAAGAATTTTCTCTAGATCGAGAACTGTCCCGAGATCTATCATAATCCACTTCTAACATTTTACTGTTCACTGCTGGTCTAATGACCTCAGTTATTTCAGGACTAATCCTTGAACTCTTGACCTCTGACCTTCCAGAGCTTGAATGACTTACAGAATGTTTTCCAGAGTGTTCAAAACCCTCTGATGAATCTGGCGATTTGTGAGGGAGACCAGTTTTATCATTGTAGGGAAATGAAGGATGAATTTGTCTCAAGGCAGAATCATCAGCTGTTTGTTGGACAAGATGAGGATCTCCATCAGCACCCGACTGGTCTGTGAAACTCTCCTCCCTGCTTGAGGTGTACATATTATCTTGGACTGGCGTCCTCCGTTCTTCATCACTTGTGTTTGTGTTTTGTGAAAGAAGACTAGAACCAAGAGACAGTTTCAGATTAAGATCTTCGATGAAACTGGTTTGAGTTTCTGCAGTGCATTTTTCTTGAAATATATTTTCCTTTTGACTAGAAAGGTCCAAATTATCATCTTGAACTGAGGACACAATTTTCTCATGTAAGCATGTTTTGTCCTTTCCTGGTGGTGTGTGATTGTCCAATATAAATGTTTTATGTGACACTTTCTTTGCTGGACGATCTTTTTGTATTTTTGGCAAACACAAAGTGTCAAGAGGCCAGCATACAAAAATGTTCTGATTTCCTTCAATTTCAGAAAAAATCTGTTCATATTCCTCTTTCACAAGTTGCAGATTTCTCCTCGTCAAATGTCCTCGTATTAATGCCTAGAAAAATAGAAAATTGAAAAAAGGACAATTAATTAATTCTATTGTGGGACTGACTAAAGTAACCAACATTTTATTGTTATTTGATATTGCAATGGCAGGGAAAATCCTGGAATTTGAGAGCAGTGGGCCATTTCAGCAATTTTTAATCAATATGAAATTTAAGAGGGGCCATCCTATGTAAAATTAAAAGAAAATTGGAACATGGAGGGGTCAATTTCAGTTTTGACGGGTCAATGGCTCCCTTCAGTATTATCCCTGCAATGGCTGTCTATTTGTTTGTGTGAAACTTATCTGATATCAAGTATTGAAAGGAAGTACATTGTACATGTAAAAATTATAACATACATAAATGTATAATATATACTGCATAAATACATTTTCTTCACATAATCTAAACAAAAATTCTACAAATTTAAGCTTAAAATTGTTTATATGTCGGACAAAACATTTATCTTTTACCTTCATGACGCTAGAGCCTTGTAAAAAGCCTTGTCAAAATTATAATTTCCCCCAAATCTGAAAAAGGTTAGTTTCCCCTAAAACCTAGATTGATCCCTGATAGTGTAACGTGCATTGAAGAATTATAGATAAAGAACAAAATTGATCAACCGATCTTCCCATATCGCACATACATGTACATGTTTTATTGCACAGTGGGGCGATAGTTCAGTCAATTGCACAGTAGTGTAAAAGATGTGGATTAATTAGGTTGCCTTACAAGCGTCAGCTCAACGGTAGAGCATTTCAAGCCCGAGGAGGAGCAAGGGTCGCTGGTTCGAGCCCTAGCGACGGCACTATCTTTATCACTATTCCTCGTCCTATTACAAATTGGTGCCGTTGACACTCCCCGTTCAAGGTAGGAGAACCCTTGGCAGGGAGTCAAAGAACCTGGGATGGTGTTTAAAAAAAGGGGGGAATAGTGTAAAAGATGTGGATTATTTAGGTTGCCTTACAAGCGTCATCTGTAGAAAATTTCCCTTTAGCTCAGCAGTAGAGAATCGTGCTGGAGAGCCAAGGGTGGGGGTTCGAGCCCCAGCGACGGCACCATCCTTATCACTATTCCTTGTCCTATTACAGTTGTGTGAACAATATTAGTTATATAGTCAGTTACTGACCCTCTACAGAACCATAGAGGGTCAGTAAGATTTATAGGGGGCGAGGGCGGAGCCCGAGCCTCCTATACATCTTACTGACCCTCTATGGTTCTGTAGAGGGTCAGTAACTGACTATATAACGAATTTATCGCATCGAGGACCCTTTTGCGTTTGGGCAGACTGACTGTTTAGTCGCTTCTTGTCTATTTCTTCCGTTGTCGTCTGCCCAAATCTCTCCATGTTGTTGTTGTGCTGTTGTCTCTCAATGTCACCGAAACGCTTAGATAAGGGGACGGCACCCACGCTAAAACAAAAGACGGTCGCTTGCGACAGCGTCTTACTAATTTTGCCTGGCGTAGGGGAAGCAACTCCTATCATTTTACGATACAATGTAGCGAATGGGAATTACGGTGAGCATTGTATCATTTTCAGAATATTCAGGTACCCGGTATCTGTTGTTTTAGTTTTGAAGCGGTGAGCAGTGGGCGGCCATATTGCCCTATAATGGAATCCTACTGACCCTATATAGAAAATTAGAGGGTCACCACGTGACAGCTCTAAACCAATGGATTTTGGACATTTTTGTCCGAGGTGCGATAATGTACAATGTATGCAAAATGTACACATGGTAGTTTTGATTTTGGGTGGGTTGTGTGATCTAACAACTGTATCTACCTGCTACCTACCCTCTATTTTCAGGCATGTATATACAATGTAACAGTTAACAAACATGTTTTGTAGTGGCTTAACCAGTTAATAGGAGAGACAAAATGTACGGCCAGACTGGGATGTGTATCCGAAGGTTCTGAAGCACAGACAAACCTATAGCCATATAGACAAATTTGACTTTATCGTCAATTTTTTTTTTTGTATATATACTATAGGACAAATGTAAACAAACAAGTCAATTGGGGTCGCAATTTCTTTGTGCACATTGAAAAAAGTTGGACAAACATGTGAGTTGGTGAAACAAAAGATTTTTATCTCATAGCTCAATTTAGGGTGACAGTACCTGACCCGGTGCCCTCCGAACTCTAGCTAGACGCATGCTCTAAATGAATTGAGCTATAATTACTGGTCGTCTGTTGAGTTCCACTAAAGTTATTTGCAAAAACTGCCTGATGTAAGTTTGCAGAAATTAAGGTATTAATTCCTACAGGCTCATGTCAGTGTATATACTATGTAATAGCTAGGCTCATAACTTTTCCTCAAAATGATAAAAAGATGGAAGTTGGTTGGTATATATACCCATGGATGTCAAAAACAATATCAATAATGACATTTGCAGAAATTATTCGTGAAATTATTGTTGGTTTTGTTTGAATAGTAACCTTTGAATGCAGAATTGATCCTGATTAATCAAAGATTATTTCAAAAGCTCTACTAGACCTTACTGTAGGCCTACTGTATATTTGTTTTAAAATGCCCACCGACTTTAAATAAAAAGTATCTATCACATCTTATAAGAAAACAGTCGGTGTATTTCTTGTTTTCATGCAAAACACATGTACAGGCGCATGGTACAATTGATCAATTTATATCTGAGGCCTCATTGTTTACCATGATGTACATAATATAGACACACAAGTTGATGCTGTTCGACGGCCCTTTGCAGTATCGCCGTAAATGTAAATGTAGCTCAGCTAAGCCCAAGTTTCCTCTGGCCCTAACACTTTGACATGTCTAGTATTAGGGCCACAGGAAACTCCCGCTAATAATGTATGGTAAACAATGCAAGGAGGCCTCAGATATAAATAATAAATTGAACCGTGCCCCTGTGTGCATTAATATTAAGATGTTCTAAATAGCAAATCCAGTGATATTTGTTCGTTTTTAAAATTCAACATTATAGATGACCCTTAAG